ATTTACTATTGAAAATGTAATTGGGAACACAACTCATACCTTAATTTGTCTTTCTCCACTCACGACATTGGTGACTTGTTATTCTTTTTTATTTTTTTTTGATCAAAGCAATTTAAACTTGTTAATCTATAATCTATAAGCAATTTAAACTAATGCTGTTATTACGTTTAGAATGGGCATTGTAATTTGTATTTAGTGCGGTAAAATATTTAATTTCAGTTCAAATTAAACTTTTTGTTTTTATAAAACCTCAACAATTTAAAAACTTTTTGAACTAATCATAATAACGATCAAAACTAGTACGAGCCTATATGGTAGCTTCGATCGCTAAGGTTTGACTCCAACGACCTAAACTCTCAATCAAAACCTAAGTTTAAGGGAAAAGGCTCGTAAGTCGTGCTTATCACTAAAGATTATTATCCATCAATTAACCTCGATTTCAATCTCCTTGACTATGGTTAATTCTTAACTACTGCAGTTGCTTCATTAATCATTTTAGTATACACTTCCATATATATAAAGTACTAGAGATCATCCACGCGTTGTATTAATTTAAAAATTAGCATGGTAAAAATGTAATATATCGATTATTTGTTGAAATACGTATTTTTTTTCCTCGTCCATAATACTGCTCATAATCTATTGGTGAATTTGAATATTATTGTTGTAGAAATTATATAAAAAGTGTGTTTGTTTCAAACTATGAGTTAAAGTGATTTTTCAAACAACATTCATTTAGATAAAAAAAAAAAAGAGAAATGGATTATGGATGCATAAATTATGTGGTTCAAAATGTATAAACTCAAAATATTAGTCCACTAAAAACAATACTAACCGGTTGTCTCAAACTTTTAATTTTTTTTTATTAAATGGTTTATACATGTGGTTGAGTATTTGATAATAAGATGAAAAGGTAATACAACATCTTGAATTTCTCCATATAATTAGATAATCTCTATACTATTAAAAGAGAAGTCATTTAGAATAAATGTCCAAAATCTATTCAAATATTACTGAAATTGCCATTGGATTTAAACTATAGAAATTCAATTGAAATAGGTAATTTTGGAATTTTTCAATGGCAATTTCAGTAATATTTAGCTCAATTTCGGTCAATTTTTAATCAATTATCTTCAAATAGTCAACAATAAAGATTTGGTATATTTCGGAAATTATATAGATTTTGAAAGT